AAGTTTTGTGGCGTAGTTGGCCTAGTGGTTAGGCTACCGGACTCGTAATCGTGAGGTTGCGGGTTCGGGGGTTCGAGCTGCGGGCCCGACGTTAAATTGTGTTCTTGGGAAAGGCACTTTACACGAATTATCTTTACTTCACCCTGGCGAAAATGAGTACCCAGCTATAGGTAGTGAAAGATCTTGTCAGTTTGTTAGTGTTTGAGCGCTTAACCAGCTGCTTGCACTGTATGCTTCCCGGGAAGCTGAGAATGTTTCTGGGTGTTCTATGGTCTGCTGGGGGTAATAATATAGTGTAAAGCGCATAGAGCCTGCTTTCGAGTGGGGACATGCGCTATACAAAATATGCTATTTATTATTATTAAAGTAAAGAGAAGTACATCGATGTAACGATAAAGATGATTGGGTATCTGCAGGAAAAAGCACTCCCTTAGAATTACAAAGTTCTATCTGACATTTTTGACCGTTCTGAGTTACTAGGACCTTGGCGTCGGAAACCAATAAATGCTCTATCTGCTGCTCTATCAAAACTGTACGGTTATTCGCAGTCGTTATCAAGATAGTTATTCAAAGAATTACATTATTTTGTTTTTGTTTGTTTAGTATAGGGTTTTACGGCGCTCGCAACTGCATAAGGTCATATGAGCGCGCGGGACACACCTAATACGTTTTCGTTGGTAGGAAATTTTGAATTTTTCCCGGGTGGCGGCCAAAGCCTACTCTTATCGATTTTAGACCACCAAGGGATCTTTAACGTGCGCAACTTGCACACGGGCCCTCCGAGATTTTTCACCCTTGTCCGAGAAGGCTAGGTGTAGATCTTTCCTACCAGAAGATCAGGGGTGTGGCAGAAAGACAGCAGCTGGGAGGAGCCAAGGAGTAGCAGTAGAAAGGCTGCAGAAAGAGTCAGGAGCCCAGAGGAGGGGGCAAAGGAGGTGAGGGGGTGGGGGCAGAAAGTGGAAATGAAAGCAGACAACAGAACATTGTTAGAGATCAGGAAAGGGTGTGAAAGGAGACAATTTTAGAGAAGAAAATTTTTGGTCGCTACCCGGAATCGAACCCGGGACCTTTGAATGAGAGGCCAACACCTTAACCTCTAGGCCACGAGAGCCCCCGAATTACATTATGAACAGCTTGATTTTTTGTCTGTCCTCGCGGTTATATGCCCCCAAAAAATCCGAAATTATGCGTACTAAGCCCAAAATGGGAAATTATGCGATTCTGTTAATTTTAACAAAGAAAGATAAAGGAAAATAATCAGAAATTATCCCCACCCCAAAAAAAAAAAAAAAGTAAATAAAAATAAAAGAATAAAATTTTGCAATTTTTTTTCATTATGCGGGGGCATAAAACAACGTGGACAGACATAATATTGTGAAACTCTAATTAAATCTTTGACATCACATTTCTCAAAAGTAGGTAGGGCCTACTGAGCAGACAGAACTTTGTAATTCTAGGGTAGTGAAAGGCAGACGAAAAAAAAAAAAGAAAAGAAAAACGAAAAAAACGGGGGAATTGGGGGGGAGGGGGGGGGGGAAGCTGCTATCATGCAGTGACTCACTCCTTGTCAAAAGTGATGGAAAAGTAATGAAGGAGAGAAGTTTCTTATTCTCGTGAAAAAGAGCATCAGATTTGTTGATAGCAAGTAAGCGACTTTACATAAACCGGAATAACTTATTATTATCATATTATAGAAAACTATAGGGGGCTCTTGTGGAGAGGTTATGGTGTTCGCCTTTCATTCAATAGGTCCCAGGTTCGAATCTTGACAGTGAAGGAAAATGTTCTTCTCTATTATTTCCTCCTTTCCCCTCCTTTCATGTTATCTAACCATATTCTGTCGTCTGCTTTCGTCTCCGCTACCACCCCCATCCCTCTGCCTCAGAAACACACACACACACACACACACACACACACACACACACACACACACACACACCCCTAGGCTCCTGAATCTTTCTGCAGCCGGTCTACTTCTACATCCTGGCTCCTTCTTACTGCTGTCTTTCAGACGCACCACTGATCTTACGGTAGGTAAGATCTAACACTTAACCTTCTTGGATAAGGGTGCAAGTTGCGCATGTTAAAGATTCCGTGATGGTCCCAAATCGATAAGAGTAGACTTCGGCCACCACCCGGGCAAAATTCAAAATTAATTACTACCAAAATGAAAATGCTTAATGTGTGTCCCGCACGCTCATTTGACCTTATGCAGCACTCAAACACTTACTAAAAAAAAAAAAAATAAAAAAAGAAAAAAGAGAAGACTTACACAATGTGGCGGTTGATCAACGTCTGAGGTCTAGTGGTTAATTAAAAGAGCTCAGCCGTCGCGTACAGGAATTTTGCTGAGATTTTGTATCCCTTTGAGGTCTGGGTTGGCCTGACAGACAGGGCCAGAGCCTGCCTCCTAAGTGATCTAAATTGTGCCGATAGGAGCGTAAAGTTTTGTTCTTTGAAAAACGAAGGGAAACATGTGATCCTCACCCATTATTTTTGT